AACAGCTCTCAAACAATTTTCTTCTTATTTTGTTAAGCACACAGCAAGACTATATGCTACATAAACACCCACAATTACCAAGACCAGGGGTAAGCAACCTAAGCCCCAGGGGCTGGATATGCCCCCCCCCTTGAGGCCTTTGCACCAGCTCCAGGACAGTTCTGTCGCTGCCGCCACCGCTGCCACCACCCCCAGCCGCCACCCACCATGATGATATTGATTATTGTTGTTATTACTTGTTCTTGGGGTTTTCTTGGCAAAATCTCCACAGGGGTTTTGCCATGGCTTTTCTGGGGCCGAGAGAGTGTGCATGCATATTTTAATTGTTTATTTATTTATTTTAAAAAAACATTTATTTATTTATTTATTTATTTATTTATTTTTGGTGCTTCGGCCCCCCAATTGTCTGAGGGACAGCAACCTGGCCCCCAGCTCAAAAAGGTTGCTTACCCCTGACCAAGACAATGGCTATACCCAAGAGACCAATCCTTACAACTCAAATCCATCTAGCAATTTACTTTTCTGTACTCATGGATAGCATTAGCTCTTCAATATGACCCTCAGATCCCCTTAAATGTTATGCCATTGCAGTGGAAGTTACCTCTGTATTTGTGTACCTTATGCCATACCATTTACTGTGTAGAATAGATCCCCTCTTCCACTGGGGGGGGGGGTGGCAGTTTCATGGGAACTACTCATATAATTAACCCTACCTATTTGGTTCCAAGCCAAGTCAAGGATGGACAATTTGTTAATGTGGTTTTTCAGGTCCTCCCAAGTCTCTCAAAAACATTTCATCAACATCCAACCACAACATGGGAATTCCTCATTAAAACAAGTCTAATCTGCAAGGGTGTTTTGCAACTTGCCACAAAAAGCAATTTGCAACAAATGCTTCCTGATTATATAAAAACAGTATTAAGAACAAAAGAGTGTAAGAACAGCCATATTAGATAAGGTTGGTTGGTTGCACTGTTTAACCCTTCTGCTGCCATTCCATCTAACAAAAGGTAACATTTAACTTTCAATGTTACAACCTTGCAATGTGATAGGAAAGAGGAAAAACACACACTTGCCAAATACAATGCCTTTGATGAAAGACACTTGAGTTGTGGTCTCAACTAGGCTAAAGGAGCAATATTGGTGAAGTTGCCCACCCCTGTTTCAAATGCTATTACAGTCCAAGTCTGTGGAAAAGTAATGCCAGAGCTTGTTGAAAGGTTTATAGGTACTCAGACAACACAACTTGGGCAGAGCAGAGACTGCATGTTGAAGACGTACCAAGCTTTATTTATTTATTTATTTTTTAAAAATACTATACTTTATTTCAGACAAGTAACTAGGGAAATCAAATCTACATACACATTAATACTTTTAGGGCCTAATGGTGCATGAATAATGATCAGCCTTAGCCCTGTCATGTCAGTGTCTTTTGATGAAGGTAGAAATGCAAAACGATACAGCTGAACCCATCACACATCTAATTTTTCCCCTCAAAAACAATCTTATTTCCTTTACATGTTTACAAAAGGATATCCTTGCCCCACACCCAGTATAATTTAATATAATATAATCATCAATGGAAATTACATTCATAGCATTTTAAAATTATGTTAAAATAACATTTAATTGACAGTAATTATTTTAAAAGTTTAAAAGTGTCTCTTATGCATGTCTCCTGCTTCGGGGAAGGAGCATTTATGTTGTCAGCAGAACACAATTTCTGCATATTTTATTAATAAAATTTGTTTTTTT